ATTGGGCTCTCGGGCGAGATCCCAATTCGTCAGTCACGACTGACGTAACGTAGAACGTGACTGACTGAAAGGGAACCACAATTCTGTTTGCTAACAGCACAAACCCTATGAAATATTTTGGCAAGCAGAGATAAGGTGTCATATGCAATACATTGCTATGTCGAACACATGAGAGGAGGAGGAACACTAAAAGTTATCATGCAAACAAATTAACATTTAATTAGACTTATTGTGCACACTTTCAGTCAGTATAAACAAACAAATGAGAAAATGAGTACAAACAACAAATTAGAAATTATAATGAGGTCTTATAAAGTAGTATGTATAATACTTTTGTGCGGCATCTATGCAATTTATCAATTTATGTGATTTGTGCTTGTATGTGTATTATATTCCACAATATTGTGCCAATTTTCGCTTTAGTTAATATAATTATTTAATCAAAGGTGAGTGAAAATTATGTTTTAATAGTGCATTCAATAATATAATGTATACTAAAATGTACTTAGCCAGCTTACAAGTCCATCAAGAAACACATTTCGAAAGGAGACTTGATCGCAGGTCCAGGAAATGGAAGCCTTATATGTGTCAGATGCAAGAAAATAAGGCCAACTAATGAGGACAGCTAAATATACCACTACAGGCGTTCTGCTCTCTCGCCTTCTCATCTCGCTGTGTCTCTCTGAAGGTTACCTTGCTTTCATTACACCAGGACACATTTAATATCAGCACTATGATCAGGCCCGGTGAGCCCATACAGAGCTTTATCTAGAGTTTGGACCGTTGTAATCTTCATAGAAGACCCACTAATTTCTGTGACCAAGGCTAAACTACAAAAATTTTAAAATTCTGTCATTATTTGTTCACCTTCATGTTGTTCCGACCCCATTTTACAGTCCAGTTTATGAACCTCTGAATTTTTGGTGCAACCTGACGCTGGACACTATGAATTATCCGAGTATGAGTTTGGAACAAATGGGGGGAACAAACGGTTCCTTTAGACCTGGTACAGAAAATGGCGACCTAATACTTATTTCTTGGCAGAATTAAATTAAAATAATTTCCATCCAAACCATGCAATCTATGTTCTTTTAGATGGTATTTTTCGTTAACTCGTCTTTTACTCAAGAGATTTGAATTGCACTCAAGAGAAGCAACGTTTAAAGACTGAACGCATACAGATATATCCTTTAAGAGAGATCAGTCTTTATTGTGTTTCTTTGATTAAATGCAAAATTAATAATGAGAAGAAATAAAATAAATAAGCAGCTATTAACAGCATGAAGTAATTTATCCACACACTCCATTTGTTAGAGTTGTTTCTGTATGCTAATGACTCTATGCCATTGAAAAGCAGTCGTATGTGACAGTGTCATTAATGGCTTCTCGAGTCTCATTCGTGCTCTGTAAATGGTGGTGGTCTTGCTCTTGATTAAAAGACTTTAGTAAGACGTACATCTACTATTCTTTCACACTTGACTGACTGGCCCATGCAAACATTTAAGTCTCAAGTTTGTGTTCATTACATAGCACACGTACTCAGATATGGGTTGCATAGGGGATTCTTTAATTATAGAGGCACTATGAACACTAAAAATAGCAATCTCTCCATTTCACTTTTTTTTAAAGATAATAATGATAAAAAAGAAATCAGTTGTTTTTTAAATTAAAATTATTATATGGAACACTTTGGCACTGATGCCTAAACAACTGCTTTTACAACAACAAAGTAAATATTTTAATTAATTACAAATGTCTGCTACCTACTCCACTGCCCTGCTAAAGATACTACTTAAAGGGGTCATATGATGCTGCTAAAAAGAACAGTATTTGGTGTATTTGGTGTAATGAAGCCTACAGTGAGCCGAGGCCGGTGGATAAAGTGAGGAACAGCGGGAGGGTTAGAGTGAGCAGAGGCGCGGGCTTGAGAATGGCGCGGCCGGTGATTTCGACGAAGGAGCGTCCGGAAGGACATGTGACGACTCCGGGCTGGACTTAGCTTCGTCCACGGTGAAAGCCGATCTGGCGATCGACAGCACAAAGTTGTAGTATTTCCTCAGCAACCAGCACAGATCAGCTCCAGGCATGACGAAGCAGATATCGTCCTCTTTTGGAAGACCAAACAAAGTAGTTTCGCTTTTACAACGAAGCACACAGCGTCTTTACGTCATGGCAGCGGAAACAACAAAACATTTGGTCGGCGTTATGCAAACCTTCCCACAGAGCGACCTAGGTATGTGGGGGGCGTGTTAAAACGAGCCGTTTTAGGTAGGCGTGGTTGACTCTTAACTTTTATAAAGAATATCTCTTTGGATTTGAGACTTTAGTCTTTGCAACTTTACAGATCTTCTTTATGCACCAAGAGCTTATAACACTCCAAAGAGAAAGGAAAACTTGAAATCACATCATATGATACCTTTATACTTTTAAAGTAAAGATACTTCTCATTTAATATGTATTTTATATTATTATATGTATATTAAATGTAAAATATATATTTTATTTTTACATTTGTTCTCTAGGATTTTTAGTGTTTTGCTCAAGACAGCAACATTGGGGACAGTGATACATTGTTATAACAAATTGTAAACATACAGTACTGCAAATGCACTGAAAATACCTGTATAATTTTGTAAATTCTTAGGAAAAAGTGCAAGGTTGGACTTCTCTGGTTTTAATGCTTTTTATAAATTTGTTATAGAGGAAATAGTAATTAAGAGACATAATTTTGAGGCTATTATAATCTGCCCTTTAAAACTAGAATATTTTCATTTTTCTTTCAGTTCATACTAGGGAACAGAACAGTTCCCCTAATCGAAGAATCACTCAATGTACTGAAGTCGACTGCAAGCAATAATTGGAGCAATATAAAAAAACAGTCCCATTATTTTTATACAGTAATAGCCTGAGGAAAGGCAATTTGAAAATGCATTTTTATCTGTACTTGACATCCCTTTTTACCTATTTTGTTGTAATACAGCTGGTAATTAATAAAAAAAAAATTATTCATGGAGTTCATGTGGTATATGGGTATATTAAAAGCATGTCTTGTGGATGACATTGGCATTGAATATTTATAAAAGTTTGCTGTGTATGCTTGTATCAGCATTGGCACATTGGCCAAGATAGCAACCTAATGTAAAATGCCAGAATTTGTTGATTCATCAACTATTTACCAGATGACCTGTCCTGACCCATCAAATGACCTGACCTCTTCTTGCCAGTCTGAGTGCTAGATCAATGCAAATGTGGAAACTGGTTCGAGATAAGGATGTTTAATGTTTATAAATGGTTTAAACTATGCTGCTTGACCTAGTTTATTTGACTACTAGTGCTGGGCAACATACTCATTAAGGACAGGTCTAAGAGCAGCTGCATACTTTTGCTTTATGATCTGTAAAATGCCATGGAGAAGCTTCCATCGTATGAAATGTATACGTGGAGGTGACAGGCTGAAAGGTGTCTTGGGAAATAGCAACAGTCCGGGTTGGGGGTGGTAGCGAAAATAGAGCTGTTGTCGTGAATGGAAGAAAAAATTCCAGAGGCTCAGAACCAGATGGTCATTGATATAGAGGTGGCCCAGTTACAGTATGTTTTACCACCTCAGGAACATGAGGACACACTGTACTTACAGTCTTTTGCACCTATGTTTGTCTTGGTGTGATTTATGAGAATGCACAGCATGAGTGACACAATGACTCATTAGGTGCCAGCAAACATCCCTTATTAGTAATACTGTTGCTCTTGCTTATATACTCCTGGGGCTATTAACAGACAACAGGACCAAGATGGCAGTGATTTAAAAAAAAAAAAAAGTTAATACCACCCTCTATTTTTTATGGGATTTTAATTCACTAATTTAACTCTGATCAATCATAAAGTCATAATTTGGTCAGCAAGTCTTCATAACTAAAAGGCCTTGAGTTGATTACACTGATTGGGATGCGTCTTTCATCAATACTTTTTATTATGCCATTCCTCAGTAATAATCTTCATCTTTTCCTTCTGCTGTCTTCATATTATTTAGGAACAAAGACGTTTACAGTCTTCCAAAGTAGAATTAATTTCATCATCCCATTAGTCAACTTTGAAAAAAATAGTGGATCAAAAGATTATATTTATCTGCATTGTCTTTTCGATATGTATCTAAATCTTTATGATTAAAAAGACATGTCTAGTGACTCTTTCACATTTTTGGTAATTAAAATAATATAACAATATAATAGTGCAATTTAAAAACGTATAATTTCATGTATGGAGTCATATAGCTGAATGTTTATTTTAATTTATTTTATTTTACTGTTTAACATTGCATTTTTGTTTATGCCATGTTTTCATTTTTTTCATAAGTATTATTTTGAGATCAAACAATAATGTAATAATGAACCGCATTGTTGTTAATGAAATTGACTCTTGTGCTTTTCCTAATCTAATTTCAAATAATTCTTGAAAACACTTCACTCGATGAGCATCTTGAAGAAAAAGGGTAGAATTTTTACAAATGAACTTCTACAGTTCTTGCAAGACTCCCATAATGTGTTACTTTTCTATCAGATTCTAATTGATTCTCCTTTTTTTCAGTCTGTTCTCAGTTCTCAAGAGGAGTTTATGCTATTTTTGGATTTTATGACAAAAAGTCAGTGAACACAATAACGTCGTTCTGCGGGACACTTCACGTCTCTTTCATCACACCAAGCTTTCCCTTGGATGGAAATCAGCAGTTTATCATTCAGATGCGACCAGACATCAAAGGACCTCTCCTGAGTCTCATTGAGTACTACAAATGGAACAAGTTTGCCTACCTGTACGACAGTGACCGAGGTAAGGCACTGCACTGCATTATTCAACACCATATGAACGAGACGTGTGTGGGCTGAGGAGAAATGACAGATTTACTTTTAAATAGGATTCAATTTGTGGTTTGCCAGTGGGGTAGCTTTCAGGCACATCAGCTGGATTGTTGTTTAGCCCAAATGATCACTTTTTGATGAAGGCATTTCTTTAGCATTTTAAAATATGAGTAAAGTGCCTCATCACTTATGTGAATGTAAAGTTGGTACATAGGGATGATTCAGCATGGGGCGTCGTTAAAAGGCACAGGGCCTGGGACAGTATTATAACTCACACAGTAGTATGATGCTATATAAAAGCAATTGACAATATTTGATGGTGCAGATGGGATTATGGCTGTTGTATTCAGAATATTCATTTTTTATGGCTATTAGCCTGTCAAAAGGCATATCTACAATAAACCATAGGTTTATTTTGCACCTTGAGCTGGAGTGAGCAGGATCCTGTGGGCATTATTAAAGGTTCATTTTGTGTTTGTTGGCTTTTGTTTCTCAGCTTTCTATTTGTCTCAAGCTTGTCTGTCTCTCTCACTCTCCATTTTTCCATTCTCCCTTTCTGTCTGGGATCCCTCTAAGTCATCCTCCGATTCTCACTTTCTTTGATGGTTGTGGAGGTTGAGAGCTGTGTGGCACAAATGAGAATAGCTGACGTGAGTCTCTAAGGACTGTGGTGTCAAATGTCTGTAATGGTGATGTTTTATTAACTGTGAGGTTGCTACTTTTAACTTTCCTGTGATGAAGATCGGTATGCACACATTGTGTCATTTATCATTTATGAATATTAATAATGCTTACAAACCTTTTTGTGTGTGCATTTGCATGTATGCCTTTGGGACTGTTTGCTTTTGTTGCGGGCTGAATCTGCATTATTTATTTCATACTCATGTGGTGGTGTATGTGGGATGAAATATGTACCTTGACTCACACGTTTACGTCACTTGTCATACTAATTAGGTCGATCGACGCTGCATTCCCATGGCAACCACTGTGCTCTGTGTGTTATTAGTGTGTCAGTGTTACTGTGTGAGAGCAGCAACACAGCGCCTGTGGTCATGATGCATTCCACTGGTGAGATTTGGACATAAATGCAAACTTAATGCCACATCCAATATTCCTCCAGTCCTCCATTTGTGAAAATAATGCAGAAGATTGAGGGTACATAATAGGATGTGTGCTGCATCTTATAGGATAATATATATTTTCAGATGGTTTACATGCTGTGACGTGAAATACATGGAGAAGAAGAAGTGAACATAGAACATCATTTACAGAGTTTAAAGTTAATTCAAATCACATATTTCTATAGTGCTTTTATGCAATGCAGACAACAGTGTCATTAGCATTTATGTGCTTATATATAGCAATATACAGTACCACTAAAAGATTTAGAGTCTGTAAGATTTGTGTTGTTGTTTTTAAAAAATGTTTCTTATGCTAACCAAGGCTGTATTTATTTGATTAAAAATACAACAATAAGAGTAATATTGTGAAATAGTATTACAATTTAAAATAACTACTGTATTTTTTTTGAAAATGTAATTTATTTCTGTTATGCAAAGCTGAATTTTCAGCAGACATTACTCCAGTCTTTTGTGTCACATGATCCTTCAGAACATATTCAAATATGCTGATTTGGTGATCAAGAAACATTTATTATTATTATCATAAATGTTGAAAACAGTTGTGCTGCTTAATATTTTTGTGGATTTTCAGGATTTCATTTTTTTTTCTAAGAAATAACAGCATTCATTTGAAATAGAAATCTTAATAAATGTCTTTACTCTAACTTTTGATCGATTTAATGAGTCCTTGCTGAATAAAAGTAATAAAATTACTTCTTTATTAAAAAACAAACAAACAAACAAACTATCAAATCAAACTTGAACTTTCATAAGTCCATCACATACTACTGCATTTCTTTAGCCTGGATAACCACAGATAGAAAGTCGCAGATAGAGGCATACACACTTGTTGCTGCATTAAATCTCTTGTGCATGTTTTAGTAAAGAAATGGCTGATGGGTTATTAAAGAGTTTATTCAAACCTGATATTGAGCACTTTAGCAGGAAACAAATGCATAATTTATAGTCCGAGAAAGGCTTTTATTTTTAAACCACAGAGTGTGGAAGTGAAGTGACTGGTGGCCAGGGTTGTAGTTGTTGTGCTTATATAAATTATGTGAAGGTTCCAATTTAGAGTTTTGCTCAGTGGTGTCGATGTGGAGACATGATGGATTCTTACAGCATGTTGGCTGCTTTCTGCATGACAGTTGATCTGTTTAGATACTTTCTTCATCACTCACCTGACGGAAATGCCAGCATCGCTTTTGAACTGGATACTGATGAGCAGTGAAGTGACTGTAGCTGAGGGTCATTTCTTCACCCTGCCTTCTGCCCATGTGGATCTGACATGTCGCTGTCCACGGTCCTGAAGTGCATGAGACAAGGGACCCAGAGCAACGCTGACACACACATACAGCCTCACAAATGCTCTCTCGTGCTTGTTATGTGATGTGTTGTCATCAGGGACAGGTGCATGACAAAAAAATAACAACAGAGAAATATGCTTACAACTGGAATACATGCTAGAGCACCAGAATCCATGTTTCAGCAAGTCATTAAATGTAAACTTTGTCTGGATTGTGCATTTCTTTTTTTGCTTGAGCTTGAAGGATATTAAAGACAGTCACTGCTCCTTGTTTTCTTTGACTTTATCTTCTGTTATTGGTTTGCTTTGTTTTAAAGTGTCTTATATAATCAATAAAAGATTGACTGTGCACAAAGAATACTTCTCCCACACTGTGAGACTCATCCATAACCTCTGCATAATTGGGATGGCTAATTAAATCAGCCTTACACCTCTGACGATCTACAAAGATCCAGCTGTGTAGTGCTTATAGAGAGACAAGGAGATTATGTAATACAGCTGACATCACAGTTCAATGAGGGAGACCCCATACTGGGAAACCAATAGACAGATATTGAACCACAAGCATTATTCACTAAGGTTTCATTCATGCTTATGTAACAAGATTATGGAGCACTGATGTAGAATAACATAATACATGCTACAAATACACTACTGTTTAAAACGTTGCGCTCAGTAAGGTTTTTATTTATTTATTTAATGAGTAACGATGCACATAATTGCTGACAGTACAGGTATAATGTTACTATAAATTTTTTTAATAAATGCTTAACTTTCTATTCATCTAAGAATCTTGGGGGGGGGGGGTATCACAGTTTGCAAAAAAATTAAGCAGTTTTATACTCTAAACAGCAAATCAGCATATTAGATAGATTTTTTTGTGGATCATGTGACTGAAAACTGGAGTATTGTAAATTCAGCTTTGGCATGACAGGAATAAATTAATTTTTTTAATATTTTAAAAAGAAAACAGTTATTTTAAATCAGTTATTAACAATATTGAACAATATTCAGTTTTTTACAGTATTTTTGATCAGAGACTTATTTCAAAAGCATAAAAATATTACAGACCCACACTTTTGAATGGTAGTTGAGATGTCAAATGCATTATTATTGTTGCTGTTGTTGTTGTTTTCATTTTGCCCAAGTAAGTGTTACAAAGTTAAATTTTTACATTTCCAATGAAATTGATAGCAAATTAAATAAATTCCTTTTGAGTTTGGATTTCCCTGTATTTAAATGGTTAAATCTTCAGCTTCTATATAACCCCTCAGGCGTTCCTAGATTCAGAAGTGATTTTGGAGTGTCCTGGAAGAATAATGAGCAGAAGTGCTATAATCTCGTTTGCTCCTTAGGTTTTAAGTGACCCACATCAGGATTTCCTAGATTCAGAAATGATTTTGGAGTGTGTTGGAGTCAATGCTATCATCTCATTTGTTAGCATTAATAGCCCTCACTAACGAGTTTTTAATCACTTATCTCCAAGAATATCTGTAAGCCTTGATCCTCATGTCTCTAAGCCGCACATTTAACAAAGGTTAAACACGGGAGCCCACTGTGCCTTGCACTCCCAGAGATTTTACCCACAATTAATGTACTTGGTTGAAACAATACACTGGTTTCATATTCTTAAAAATCAAATACACATATCTAGCATACAAACACTCACTCACATTGACTATTTATAAACAAGTGCTGTAGCTGTTATGCCGTCACGCTTAGTTGTTTACCTCCCCTGTGACTGACAGAAATGAAAATGCCAATTTTAGAGCCTTATTATCTGTATCAAATCCTTCATGGAGTATTATTAAGGATGTAACTGGCAACCAGTACTTCAAAATGGTGTGAATCATGCAAAGAAATGGAAAAAATTAAATAAGAAAAATAACATATCATGAGTTGCCAAGCTCAAACAATCCAAAAGATGAAGCATCTGAAATGCTGCATATTTCTTTCCAGAGGCACCTTTATTAAAACTCTTTTTAATCAGCCTAATTTGACCTTTGTAGCTTTGATAGATTCCTAGCGTCTTCCAAAAACCTAATCTGTTCCTCTTCATCATAATCAGGACTTACCACACTCCAAGTTGTGCTGGACACAGCAGCAGAGAAGAAATGGCAGGTGACTGCCATCAACGTGGGCAACATGAAGGATGAGAGAAAGGATGAAGCATATCGCTCACTCTTCCAGGACCTAGAAAACAAGAAGGAGCGGAGAATCATCCTTGACTGTGAGCAGGACAAAGTTAAAGATATCATGGAACAGGTATACATATCAACGTATGCATAAACACTTAATAATTCTGATGTAATCAACATTATGACATTGTCACCTTAGCCTGCAGTATTTCAGCTAAAAAACATGCTCCTAATATGTGCTGGTTTAGCTGCATATGTATTTATGTCGTTGTCATTTGTATGGGTGTTGAAATAATGCAGACATTGCATGCAAACAAGCAAATCAAAGCAAAACAAATACTTCAGTATTCAATAGTTGGGGTCAGCAAGATGTTTTTTTTTTCTTTAACTTGGTTTACTTTCATTAACCAATAATCAATTTGAAATAAACTGATCAAAAGCTACATGTATAATGTTAATGTAAATGCATATATAATGTTACAAAAAATTTATATTCCAAATAAATGTTGTTCTTTTGAACTTTCTAATCATCAAAGATTACTGAGAAAAAAATACATTAAGCAGCACAACTGTTTTCAACACTGATAATAATCAGAAATGTTTCAAATCAGCATATTAGAATGATTTTTGAAGAATCATGTGACACTGAAGACTGGAGTAATGGTAAAAATTAAGCATTTCATCACATAATAAATTACATGTTAAAATTTATTAAAATAGACAGCAGTTATTTTAAATTGTAAAAACATTTCCCAATATTGAAAGTATTTATTTATAATTTAATATTTTTTATTCAATAAATGCATCCTTGGTGAGCATAAGATACGTATAGACCCCAAACTTTTAAACAGTAATGTAAAAAAATAAGAAAGTGACAATCAAAAATTATTTTTTGTCTTCAATCACAAGTCTACATAATACTTATAAAAATAATAATTAAAGCAACTAAGTACATTTTAAGAGCACCATAACTAGGAATCATTAATTAGCCGGCACAAACAGACACCATTAGCGGGCAGAAAAGTCCTCATGAGATGGGTTTTGCAATCACACTCGCTGCACCCTAAGGGAAGAGCTATTGATTTGTATTTAAGGTCTGCAGACGTGTGTTAACCAACCGCCAGAATCAATTCAGCTGATCTGGACTCAATAATATAGCTTTATCTACACACACTTGCACATGCACATCACAAGTACCTTGCTGTCAGCACACAAACCTCTCAAGCTGCTTTTATTTCAGTCCATCTCTCTGGCTGGCATTGTGGAGCAGTACACATTCTCTTGTCATTATCTAAAATACATTTATGAAGTGTAGTTTTAGTTCATTTATTTGTATTCCATTGATTTGATGGGCTTCATTATTCTCTTTGCAGGTCATAACTATTGGCAGGCATGTGAAAGGATATCACTACATCATAGCAAACCTGGTAAATTATCTCAAATGTAACACTACCAAAGAAAAACATGACTGTTTGAAAATGTAACAAGCAAAAATGCTGAGAAAACCATGTCACGTTTTCAGGGTTTTGTGGATGGAGATCTTTCAAAAATCCAATACGGTGGAGCCAATGTGTCAGGCTTTCAGATTGTGGATTTCGATGACCCCCTGGTATCTAAATTTGACCAGCGCTGGGAAGCCCTGGAGGAAAAAGAATATCCTGGAGCAGACAGCAAGATACGGGTGAGATCTGTGTGTGTGTGACTGTCCCTTTTACTGTTTCAGACAGCTTCACTAAATATGATTAAAAGAGATGTTCAGGTAATTGCTACATGAACATAAAACCTCTTCATTTAAATGTCTGTATAGTTCAGGCCATTTGCCGGACAAGCTTGTTAGTCATTTTCTACTCCAGATAAAATGTAGTCTCATCTGTCTTCTCGCCAATTTACGAAGACTAAGTAGGTGCTTAATTTCCTGGGACTGAAATCAAGTGTTTCATTCTTACATTATCAATGAATCCGGAAAATGTGTCATTTAGAATTGAGAACACCTTTTGGATTATAGTTCAATCCTGAATTTGAATTGAACATACATTGAGGTAGCAAACAAATTCAAATGTAAAGAAATTCATATAACTGCTGTTATTCTTTCCAGAGACAGCTTTATCAAATAAATGTGAACATGGCTTCCCTATATGTGTATTTAATGTTTATATTATGATCTAATATAGTTTTTATGAATTGGTGACGATAATCCTGGAACGCACATTAAATCTAGAAATACTATATCACCTAAATACTATATTTTTCTGATTTTCTTCTCCAACCCTTTTAACAATTCCTCACTATCTCTCTCTCTGTATCCAGTACACTTCAGCACTGACGTATGACGCAGTTCAGGTGATGACTGAGGCCTTCCGTTACCTGCACAAACAGCGAATTGACATCTCCCGTAGAGCTAACACTGGAGACTGTCTGGCCAATCCTGCTGTACCATGGGCACAAGGGGTGGAGATAGAGCGTGCCCTAAAACAGGTGACAAGTCATTGTGCCAACCTGCCCCATGAGTACAACCAAATTTATAGAATTGTATTGTTTATATTGGGTTGTTAAAGTGTTTGTAAAATAAAATATTTGTTTAAATAAGATTCTGAATCCCAGAGAAAAGAAACAATCCCTCAAAAATGATTTAACTCTCTTGTCATATACTTTTCATGCAGGTGAGAGTTGATGGTCTCACTGGTAACATTCAGTTTGACCAGTATGGAAAGAGGGTAAATTACACCGTCAATGTCATGGAACTGAAAAGCAATGGACCAGTTAAGGTAAGGCTTTGTTCTAAGAAAAGTGTATAGAAAGGAATGCATAATTTATTACTTCACGTCATAAGTGTTACAGGTTACTCTCAAATGCCTCTCTTTTTTCAGATTGGCTATTGGAATGAAGTTGATAAAATGGTTGTGACAAAGTCTGATCTCTTCCCAAATGATACAATGGGGTTGGAAAACAAGACTGTGATCGTCACCACTATTCTAGTAGGTATCATTTGTGGTTGTCCATACTAAATGCTGTAGCATTGAAATATGTGCTCTGTAGTAAAGCACACTTCTTTGACAAGGTGTTCCCTGCTGTCTTTTTCAGGAAGCGCCGTATGTAATGCTAAAGAAGAATGCTGACCTTTTTGTGGATAATGAAAGATATGAGGGGTACTGTGTGGACTTGGCAGCTGAGATAGCAAAACACTGTGGATTTAAATATCAGCTGAAAATAGTTGGAGATGGCAAATATGGAGCCAGAGATGCAGAGACGAAGATCTGGAATGGAATGGTTGGAGAGTTGGTTTATGGGGTAAGAAAGTTGGGCATAATTGATAAGTAGTTTATGTTGGTCTGAAAAGTAGTCTGAACTATTAACATCAACATTTCCTATGATCAATAAAAATTAAATCTCTTTGATTTTAGAAAGCTGACATAGCAGTGGCTCCACTGACTATCACTTTAGTCAGAGAAGAAGTCATTGACTTCTCAAAGCCATTCATGAGTTTGGGCATCTCCATCATGATCAAGAAGCCTCAGAAATCCAAGCCTGGTGTTTTCTCATTCCTGGACCCTCTGGCCTATGAGATCTGGATGTGTATCGTGTTCGCCTACATCGGCGTAAGCGTAGTGCTTTTCCTGGTCAGTCGTTTCAGTCCATATGAGTGGCACACAGAGGAATATGAGGATGGCCAGATACAGACCAATGAGTCAACCAACGAGTTTGGGATTTTCAACAGCCTTTGGTTCTCTCTTGGAGCTTTTATGAGACAAGGCTGTGATATTTCACCAAGGTTTGTTCTTGATCTTCAAACTTTTCTTTAAGACGTGCTGGTTTTATAAAAGCAAAAGCATTTTTGCGATCACTTTGTAGATTACTTGGTCCTTGATTGTCTTGGTCAAAATATATTATTGATTTAAGATGAATTATAAGTTATATCTATGCTGAAATAAATAAATATGCTACACTAAAATAAACTTAAGATAAAACATTACATATTTAGATGTTCGTTATTCATTATGCATGATAGACTCATCTAAGCAGGCCAAGAAAATTATGCCTAGCAACAATTTTCACAAATACCTTAAAATCATTAGTGAAGCATCTGTTCATACTTCCTGTTAACTTCAAAGTTCTTAGTCATCAACTTGTTTACATAAATATATTTTCAGAAATAGTATAAGACGTCACAGTTTCAGTAATACAACGGAGCTGCATGTCAGATTGAACGTATTTTGCTTTTATTGTAGCCTTTAGCTGTGAAAGCGATTTTTAACTGTGATGATCATGCTGTCATGTCTAATGATTCACATTGGATATTTTTCATCAGGTCTCTTTCTGGCCGCATAGTTGGAGGAGTCTGGTGGTTTTTCACCCTGATCATAATTTCATCCTACACGGCTAACTTGGCTGCCTTCCTTACAGTGGAGAGGATGGTGTCTCCAATTGAGAGTGCAGAGGACTTAGCAAAGCAATCAGAGATTGCTTATGGAACTTTAGATTCTGGTTCAACAAAAGAGTTTTTCAGGGTAAGAGCCATTTTCTCTCTGTAATTCCTAATCCATCTGTCTACTTTTTCTTTCATTTTGCATTTGCAATTTGGTTTTTACTATTAATTATAAGTCAGTTTTAAACACGACTGATGAAATAACACACACTTTTGTTATATGTTTTAGAGGCTAAAATAAGATGCTAAGCTAAAAGCTAAATCCCAAGCTTCGTTGCTGATTGTAGTCACAGTAAACTGAAAATACCTGTTTGGCTTAACCGTTGTTAGAGATTTTAAAGAGTTTATATTAATCTGGACATCTTTTTTCATTTCCAGCGTTCCAAAATTGCTCTTTTTGACAAAATGTGGACGTACATGAAAAGCGCAGAGCCCTCTGTATTTGTTAAGACGACAGCAGAAGGTGTAATGCGGGTGAGGAAGTCCAAGGGGAAGTATGCATACCTCCTGGAGTCCACAATGAACGAGTACATCGAGCAGCGCAAACCCTGTGACACTATGAAGGTCGGAGGGAACCTGGACTCCAAAGGCTACGGCATCGCCACCCCCAAAGGATCCTCATTAAGGTGGGTGGAATAGTATAACAATGTGTCCAATGTTGTTATAGTATCCCACCTACCCTGATGTAGCTGTGCTCATGTGTCCTGGTTTGTATAAAAGAGATAGATATGGTAGCGGATACATTAGAGCCAAATAAATAATGGATAAAAAAATCAATCAAAAAAAAAATTAAAAAGGAAAATATTTATTGTGCAGATTTTTTTACACA